AGTCAGCATTTGCTTACAACTGCCACACGCATAAATACACACAAGTTTCTCCTTGAAGACTGTAATTTTCTCTAGCCACTGAACCCCAAATAGACAAGAAAGCACAACAATAATGGAATCATGGTTTTATTATGTATATTTAATCTTATTTTTGAATATTTTAAAAATAGTTTGTACCCATTGTCAGAATGTTCCTATGAGGGAGGAGGTAAATTATATGCTTTATATAAGAATATAGATCTCTAGTCTATTAATAATAATGAATATCATTAAGTAAAATCTCTAGAGGGTTACTAGTTCCATACCAGGCCCAACAGACCAAATCCACGTGAAGTCACACAAGATGTCTTCTTGAATAATGTCAAGAGAAAATTCAAAACCCAATCCATGAATCAGACAAGTTTAGTCAATGTCATAGCGAATTATCTTTTGCTGTAATCTTTATAAGAAAAGTAGCTTTGAAATGGCCCATCACTTGTTCTCTTCTTTCTTCCGCCCCTTTCTGTCTATAAAGTCAATTTCCTCTGGTTGGCTCATTGAGACTAATTTAACCATGAGATGTGACCTGGTTCTAGAGCCCATATTGCCCATTTTAACCATTTTCCCTGAATGTATTATATGATGTACTCAATCAGAAGGTAATCCACAGAAGAAAAGGAGCCTATACAAGATCATTCAAGTCAAGCCAAGACTCTTTATCATCAAAGACTATGCTTCACAGTTACTTACTACCTGAGTTGGCTTGTTAGGACTGCTGTAAAAAAATACCACAGACCAAGTGACCTTAAATAACAGCATGGTATTGACTCATAGTTCTGGAGGCCAGAATTCTAAAACTAAGATGTTTATGGGCTTGATGCCTGTGGAGTCTGAGAACTGTTTTCTCTCTCCAAGACAGCTTCCAGTAGCTGCTAACAATCCTTGGCTCCCAGCAGCACACCTCCCACATTGTCTTCATCTCTGTGTGGCCTTCTTTACATTTGACTCTTCTTGGGATATGTTGGTATAAGGAGGGCCCTTAAGGCCTCCTTCAAAATGTTTCGTTGTGACTTGGTAGGCACGTTGTGAGGACAAATGGGTCCCTGGTCAGCTCTTGGAGCCAATATCCTACACACTCTTTCTCACAGGATTTCACCAAATATTGATGTTACTCTGTTTGTCTCACTTGTCCCTTTCCGGAGAAGTTTTAATTAATCACTCATCATAAATGATCCTATTTCTTGAGCTACATGGAATTATTCACCTTAGGATAGAGGGAAGAGAGCTGGTGTTGTATGTAGCATGGAGTCAGTTTATGTCAGGCCAATGCTAAACCATGTGTTGCAGATGCTGTCTGATTGAATCTCACAGCATATCCGCACACTAAACGGTGTCCTTCTACAGTTCGTTTATAGGTGGTAAACAGATTCTGAAGGTTTGCATAATTGACAAAACAAAGATTTGAAGGCAGCTATGTCTGAGAATGAGAACTGTCTCTAAGGTCTTTTATTATTCCATAAACCCAAAAGAATGGGTTTCTTGCCTTGCTTCTATGAATCAGCTCCCCATGTGGAAAATGTCTAAGACGCCAGGTCTATTCAGAGTCTGGTTCTGTTCAGGTTTAATCAAAATCACCCTCAAGCAGACCTTGTGCTGAGAACATAAAATTAGCATATAGAATAAAAAATCTCACATTCTTAGCATTTGAAGGCAAGGATAAAAGAGCATCACAAACTTCATTCAGTTGTATTTGGAGTGCTGAATGCAAGAGAAACATGGATATTTTAAAACTCATGGAATGAACTCATGCTCTGGGCATATCATAGTAGTTAAACTGGTCAGTTAGCTTGCACAGAAATATATTTCATGAGCCATCTTAAGCAAGTTCACAAGATTCGGATTCATATGAACCTCAAGTCAGATAGTTTCATTAAGAATCAAAGTATTTTTAGTGTTTGGTTTTGTGACAGAAAAGTTTTCTATGTTTAAATATCCCATATTAAGTAGCAGGGAAAGGTTTTTAAATGCACGTGATTTAGATTGAATATGAGGATGTTCTTTTTGATGGGTGCCTAGGAGTTAATTGACAAATAGTCATTTCAACAGCAGAGAGTCTCCTCTTGACCAGTAACTGGTCTTAAAAGGAGGCAATTAAATAAGTAAATGACTTTTGCATGTCTCTGGACTGTCATCTAAATGAAGGGTTACATTGGATTCTGTTTGGTGACCTCTTAGAGTATTCTATAAATGAGGAGATTCCAGGTACAAGACCTTAAAAGTAATTGTATGTATAGATTAAATTATCTCACATGATTCCAATATAAGATTGAATTTTTGAGTTGAACAAAGTGGTTATGGGGTAGTTGTCTTCCATGATTTATTGATTTTTAAGTATAACAAAGTAAGGGCTACAGGAAACCTTTTACTAACATCAGGGTCTCTGGAACTAACTTGAGTTTTTGAGCTGCTTATTCTGTTCTTTTACGTGTTGTGTTGTTACTGTAAACTCTTACTTTTAAAAGGAGTTTAAGCATTTTAGACCTTACTCTTCTGTCATTGGTTTTATGTTTGTGATTCAAGCGATGAAATTCTTACTCCCAATAGGATGGTATTAGGAGGTGGGATCTTCAAGGTTAGTTATATTTCACTGATGTCTTCATTGATGGAGCTCCCATGATGGGATCAGAACCTACTACAGTCAACCTCAATTATCACTTTGGTAAGAATGAGAGTCACTAGGTACGTGTGCCTCTGGGGGTGACTATATGGGGGTTATCTTGTTACGGTTAATTGAGGCAGAAAGACCTATTGTACAGTTCTCCAGTTTGGGATTCTGAACTGCAGCAAAGGACAAAGTGAGCACGATATCACATCCATTGCTTTCTTCTTTCTGAATGCATGCAATGTGACCATGGATCTTCTGTTCTTCCATCTCTGCCTTGAAGGAAAGTACCCTGAACTATATATTTCATCACATTATAGAAAAACAACTAAGACAATGTCTTCAGAAAAGAAAGGGACCAAAGCCCAGTTTCTCTGACATGGAGGATGCAATAAGAAAGACAGCTAACTGCAAACTTGACAAGAAAGAGCTTACCAGACAGGGGTCTGTGTTGCCTTGGTGGTGAGCTTTCCAGCCTCCAGATCTGTGAGAAGTAAATTTCTATCATTCAGGCTTCCTGTGACACATTGTTTTTGTTGTAGCAGTTCATACTGACTGATGCATCTTCTTTTTGCAATCTTTTGGGTAGTCTCAATTTAAAGGAAGAAGGATTATTTTGATCATGATTTGAGACCACATCCATCAAACAGGGGAAGGAATGATAGTGGGGTGGCTCAGACTGTGGCAGCACGTGCTCAAGACTGCTTGCGGGGTGGCTCAGACTGTGGCAGCACGTGCTCAAGACTGCTTGCGGGGTGGCTCAGACTGTGGCAGCACATGCTCAAGACTGCTGGCTCGTATCTTCACGGAACAGACAGCAGAGAAAGGGTGATAACTGGCAAAGCATTGTAAACCTAAAGGGCAGCCTCCCTAGGTCCACTTTTCCAAGTTAGACTCCAATTCCCAAAGGTTCTGCAGCCTTCCAAACAGTGCCAGGCTAGAATAATGAAGCAATTTATATTCTGTTACTTTAAAAACTATCTGTGGAATGATTTTTGAGGGCTTTGGCAGACTAGAAAATAAAGATGAAGACATTCTACACCTTGAACTGGTATAATCTTATTATCACTTGTGCATCAGTAAACCAGGAGGTGGAAGAAAATAGAGGTGTTCTATTATTACAATAACTTTCTGAGAGACATGGGGTCAAGGAATTAAATTTTTTTTGAAAATCAGGGTGTTTATTTTTGATTAAACAATTAATTACTTTATTACTTTATTTTTTTATTTATTCATTTTGACACAGTATTTCATATGTCCCAGGCTGGCCTCTAACTCCTTCAGTATCTTTTCTCATTTCATTTCTGTGACTGGGATAAAATACCCTGTCAAAAAGCAACATATGTGAGGGAATTTATTTGGCCTACAGCGATGGTTATAGATTGTGGGCTATGCAGTTGTAGGTCCACTACTATAAGGAAGTCAGGGCAGGGACTTGAAGCATTTAGTCATATCAACATCCCATAACAGAAGAGAATAAATACATGCATGTATGCCCAGTGCTCAGCCACCTTTCCCTGCTCATGTACATTTCACGGCCCCAAACCTGAGAATGGTGCTGTCCACTTTCAGGCTGGTCCTTCCTGTGTCAGTCAAGACAGTTCCCCAAAGACATGCCCACAGTTGAGCCTGATCTAGCTAATCCCTCATGGACGCTCTGTTCCTAGATGATCCAAGGTATTATAAACTTGGCAAAACTAATCATCACAGTAGCTGAGAATGGCTTTGAATTTCTGGTTTTTAGGATTCTCACACCTGGGCAGGCTGTGATCACCCTAGACATGTGTTAGCTCCACATTAGAACAAGCGAGACTTTTACCTTGTTATTCCGTCACCTGGAGTTGTTATCACAACAGTAAGACTAAAAAAGGGGCAGCATAAATTCTTCTGATGAGTTGAGATGTCCACAAAATATCTTATGATTGAACTCTAGAAAATTACTACTTGGAAGAATTTGGGCATCATTTTACAAGCATATTCAAAATTCTTTCTTGTAAAATAGATGTGTCAATTGAAATTATTCAGTGAAACATCCAATACTATGTGAAAAGATTTATTACAAGAAATTGGCTCATGCAGTTATGGGGGCTGACAGCTCCCATTTGAGGTATGTCCGCTAATTGGATAAGATATACTTACATGCTAGAGACAATGCTATTGTATTCTGTCTTTGGTTTTGAATGTTACTCTCATCTCCAAACACTGTATGACACATACCCAGAATACTGATAATGAAATGGGAGAACCAAAGACCCAGTCAAGTGGACACACAAAATTAAGCATGACTTTATGGACCAGATACTTCCATCAATACTCATTGCATACTACCTATTCACTGATTTTTCCTTTATCTACCCAGGCATTATTTACCTAGCATCAGCTCTCAGCCATTTGGAAGCTACCACACTTTTTCTGATGGTCTGTGCTCGAGATGGGGGTGGACTCACAGCTGCCACTAATGCTGGTGTCACCATCCACATCCTGCAAACCACACTGGCTCCTGCGGAGTTTGAAAGGCCTAAGTACACATTCTCAGTTTATGAAGACGTGCCAGAAGACACCCTAGTTGGGACAGTGAAGGCAAGAGAGTCCTTGAGTAAGTGCCTTATTATTATTATAATTATTATTATTATTTGGTTTTATGAGGCAGGGTTTCTCTGTATTGTTTTGGAGGCTATCTGTCCAGCCTGGCCTCGAACTCACAGAGATCCGCCTGCCTCTGCCTCCCGAGTGCTGGGATTAAAGGCATGTGCCACCACCGCCCAGCAGTGCTGAATTCTTAATGCTGCCCCCAAGTTCATTACTGTAAAATTCCTATTTTGTCAGGCCATGCCATCTTTAAGTATTTCCTTAAACCCACACACAATGAATGGGAGCGCACAGTTCTGGGTATGCTTACTGTACTTTCATCATTGTCACCTATTTTACAGCTTTTTTTCATATTTTTTATTTAACTTTTTACACATGTCACTTTCCATTCCCTCTCCCTCCCCTCCTCTCCACCCCCAATCCTCCCAACCCCTCACCCCCACTCCATCCTACCTCTGCTCCCCAGGGAGGGCAAGGGCTTCCATGAGGGATTTTTAGAGTCTGTCACATCATCCCAGGAATGGCACAGGTCCTCCCCCATGTGTCCAGGCTGAGAGAGCATCCCTCCACGTGGTATGGGTTCCCAGAGTCCATCAGTATGCCAGGAATAAATACTGTTCTAGTCTCCAAGGTCCCACAGATTGCCAAGGCCTCCTCTCTGTCACCCAGGTTCTGTAGGAGGGATGTCTGGATCAGTCCCATGCTGGCCTCTCAGTCATCAGTCTGGGGTCCGTGCGTTCCCCCTTGTTTAGATCAGCTACCTCTGTGGGTTTCGCCAGCCTGATCTTGATTCCTTTGGTCATCACTCCTCTTTGTAACTGGGTTCCAGGAGTTCAATACTGTATTTTACAGTTTTTGATAGATAAAGGATAGGCATTTTAAAAGGAATACTTAATAATGCACAGAATAATTATGATGTGCAAAGTGTCTGTACTTGAATATTTTAAATACATGCATAAAATACATCTTATTTTATTTATTTCATAGCCACAAACCATACCCTTACTTTATATAGTTTTCCAGCTGAACTATCTATAACTCCCTTTTACTACACAATGAGTTACAAGGTGTTCTAGCTTATGCATTCTATTTAAGCGTCCCCTTTTTGCTAGCAACTTGACTGATTTAAGATTTTTGTGCTGATCCAAATAGCAATTGAGCAAATATTCGTGCCTGGCTTTCTTGCCATGTGTAGTGGAACCCCTTCAGGACAAAGTCTGGAAAGAAACCACCTCCCTAAGAGTTGGTCCTTCCTGTCCTTCCTCCTCTCTCTCTTTCTACCTCTGTGGAGGATATTTGACATCTATAAAGTGGGCGTCATAGAACAAAACCAACATACATTTAACTTGGCTTCTTCAAAAAGACGTTGACATTATTTTCTTAATATGGTTCTCTTTTACCCAACGCAAGAAAGATAGAGAAGAGAAAGCAATGGCTTGTTCATTGTCCACTCGCGGCTCCCTTTGATCACTAAGAAAGTCTTAAGTCACGTGTCTCACCAGCCCTTGTGGATGGATGAAGGCTTTGCGGTGTTCTCCATGGTGGGCATACATTGCTTCTTTGCCTTCGCATACGCTGTTTGCACTCTCTCTGTTTTCAGATTCCTCCGAACCAATCTCTTACCGAATTTCCTCAGGCGATCTGGATGGAAAGTTCTCCATTCACAGGTGGCTGGGCAGCATCCGCACCCTGAAGCCTCTGGACCACGAAGCACAGCCCATGGTTGTCCTCACCGTCCAGGCGCAGCTCGGCAGCTCCCCAGCCTGCAGCAGCACGGAAGTGAACATAACCGTGCTCGATGTCAACGACAACCGTCCTGAGTTTCCCACAGCCTGGGATGAAATTAGGATCTCCCAGACCACTCCACCTGGCACGGCCTTGTACCTTGCACGCGCAGAGGACAGAGACAGCGGGCTGAACGGACTGGTCCGGTACAGCATCGCAAGCCCTCATCCAAGCATCTTCAGCATGGATCGGGGCCGTGGGGTGCTGTACCTCAGGGAAAGTCTGGGAGGCCAGGGGAACCTCAGGCTGACCCTGGTGGCTGAGGATCAAGGCACTCCTCCCCAGGCATCCCACTTGGTGCTCACAGTAGTTATTGAAAGCCAAGAACGAAGCCCAGTCGTGGCTTTTGAAAATTTTGTCTATCAAGTGGAAGTTAGCGAGTCTCTCCCACTGACGGCTCAAATCTTGCAGGTACAGGCCTATCCACTGCATCCGTGGCACCCAGCCTCAAAGACAACGTATTCCCTGGATGTCAGTGTGGACTCTTCAGTGTTCGGAATCCACCCTCACACAGGCTGGATTTATCTGCAGCGCCAGCTAGACTATGAATCTACACAGATGTACAGGTTTAAAGTGTTGGCCCGAGTCCCGGAGGACAGATTGCTGCAGAATGTGAGCACTTTGGTAATCGTTCATGTCTTGGATGAGAACGACCATTCCCCAGCCTTCTTGCAGGACAAGGTGTTTTTGAAAGTTGAGGAGAGCCCCATGCCCCTAGGGGTAATAGGCAAAATGACAGCCATTGATGCTGACTCTGGGAAGAACGGGCAGCTGTCATATTTCCTGTTGACTGATGGGAAATTCTTCAAGATGAATCCCAACACAGGTAGCTCTTTGAAGCTTTCATCTAGATCTTTAAAAATCAGAATTAAAAAGGAAACCCTAAAACCTTCAGATACAGCTTTAGCACAAAGAAATTTTAAAATTGGGTTTTGGGAAACACAATATTTTATTACAGGGCTGTGATTTTTAAATGAGGTTAACATTGTGAAGAATCTCACCTAGGCTGATCCTGTATTCTTTTACCCCTATCATATATTGCCAGTGCCAGCCCAGGCTGTATGATGTTTCAGTTGAAAATGGGTTGCTTGTGAGACAGTGGCCCCATGAAGTTGCAATAGGTTTGAAAATTCCCATGCATCACCCCGCCTCTGTCCTGCCTTTCCTGTCTCTGTTTAGGAGTTTAGAAGCAGGACTATTTCCTCTATGTTTGAGTTACTTTCAGTGTCCAGTACAGTGAACAGCTGCTCAAATGCACAGCCCAAGGGAAATACTGTACGGCAGAGGTGTGTCACGTAGGCCAGGCCACCTAGGTTTGTGCTAGTTTACTCTGTGATGTTTGCACAGTGATGAAGCTGTTCTTAGAGTGTGTCCTGACCACTGAGCAATTTGTGCTCGCTTGTAATTCTACACTGCACTAGAGGCATGGTCGGAACTGTACTGTGGAAGTCCTGTGTAGGTTTGTTTGGGGCGGCTCTCTTGGGAGGCCTCACCCGTTTGGAGCATACTCTCCGAAACCCGTCCTTTGTGCTCCCTGCCTTCCTACAAGGCCAGTTACCTCATAAGTGGAGAACCCTGGTGTTCTTTGCTTATGGAGTGGGAAAAATGGCTTGTCATTTGCCATTCCTTTTCCTTTCAAGACAGACCAAAAAAATCAAGAAAGGTTTTTTTCTTTGTTTCTTTGTGTGTGTGTGTGTGTGTGTGTGTGTGTGTGTGTGTGTGTGTGTGTGTGTGTGTGCGCGCGAAACATAAATGCCATCAAGGTCAAACGGGAAAGTAATTAATTACGATTTAAAAACATTTATGCCCGTGTGCTCATTTTGATAAGGAACAAGAGAAAAAGAAGAATAATCAGTGTGATGTGGTTAATCTTTGATACCTTGGATTAGAAACTAAATATAAGATGTCGTGATACTTGGAATTTCATACTCCAGTTCCCAAAACACAATGTGTCTAAGTCATACACAGGGACCTTGGAAACATACTAGTAACTGCAGTGAGAGGTAGTCAGAGATGAAAGGAAGTTACCAGTTTGGACAACTTTCATGAAATAAAATTCCATTTGCTAATCTGGATTTGGGGCTTTCAGAGTTGCAGATTAGAACTTTAAAAATGCCGTTGTGTGTATGATTTATTAAATTACAGTTATAATAAACTATTTAAATATAGTTTATGTAGAGAATGTTACAGTAAACACTGTATGTAAGCTCACAGATTAAGCAATTTACCAGACGTGGACTTTCTTCTTCATTTTAGCTTTTTTTCTATGCAATGCCATTTTATTTGGATTAAGAGTGAAGAAAACTTAGCAATAAGAATGCTTGGTGGTAGCTGCTTCATGTTTACTTTCTCACAGATAGATTTATTCAAAAATGGCAAGGAAGCTAGCGTTAGGCTGGACAGGAAGAAATGCAACACATTCCTAAGGAGTGTGTGGCCTCTAACGGCCCTTGGCAATGAGGATAGGCAGAAGTTTATACTGAGTCCTCATGACTGAAACATGAGGAGATTTACCAAAGATAGCACATTTCTAAGTATGAATTACAAAATAAATTTTGAAAAGCATTGACAGTTATTTGGTAAGTCACAGTATTTTTACTATACACACATTTTGTGAGTTAAAAAAATGACACACATAAATGGCAGGTAACTGCCCAGGGAAAATGTTTTATGAGTTATTGTAAAGTAATGATAACAATGGCCAACAACCTACAGTTTACAAAACTGTAAAATATTCAATTGTGTTTGTTTCAGGGAGCAGACCCAAGAGAGTTAGCTGTGAGAGATTGGCAGATGGGGATCTGGGAACCAAATTCAGAACTTTGGATGCATAGCCTATGTCTTTCCTTGCTCAGTGTAGCAGCACAAGGGCGAATAAATAAACATTACAAGTCTTCCAAATCACTTGTTTTTATGACTTTATGGGAGGTTACAAATGCTTAGTGATGGATAATTTCAAAGCAATGATAATATTTCAAGTGGTGTTTTCTGGAGCAACCCCAGCAATTGTTTTGCACGGTCTCATTATTTAGCACAGATTGGCCTTGAACTTATGATCCCACTGTCTCTGCTTCTCTGACTGCTGAGGTGATACGTGCACACCAACAGAGCTGGCAGCAAATTCTTTCAGCAGTCACACTGAGCAGAATTACTTGAGTGTCGAAGCCTTTAGTTTGGTTTGTCTTTCAATGGACTCTTTTGGAAGTGGTTCATCACCCATTATGCCAGTATTCTAGTGCGCAGTGCCTGTCTTGTTCTGCTGTGTTCCCAGGTGAGCTGCTCAATTGGATGGCATTGGATCGTGAGCACCAGAGGCATCATCACATGACTGTCCTAGTGACAGATCACGGCTCCCCGCCACGGAATGCCACCATGGTGGTTTATGTCACAGTTACTGACATAAATGACAACAAGCCATTCTTCCCACAATGCCCACCTGGAAAGGAGTTTTACATCAAGGTTTGTGAAGTAGCTTTACAGTGAACTTAAGATGCTTTTTATCCCCAGTCATTTGTTTTGAGCACCATCTTGTGGTAAAAGTTGTGAATTTGTCATCAGCCATGGTATGGCATTGCATGTATTTTAATGACGTAGATTCGCTTATGTGCTAAAAAGCTGGTCAAAAAAATAATAAGAAACTAGCTGTGTGCACTCTTCAGAATTGCTCCCCCAGCTTGGCTAAAAGAAATAAGTCCTGTAAATTGCATATAGACATGATGTCACCCAGTGACAGTCACCCTCTCGTGGGTGCGTTTCTACTGCTTTACGTGCATCTCTGAACAGAACGTGCAGCTGATGTATCTCATCACAATGATGCCACAAAGACAAGTAATTTGGATCAGTGTGTAGGTATGACATAAGTGAGTATCCATCAAAGGCAGTAAAAGTTGGGTTTTGTAAGCACACACCAAACTTGTAATCATGCACATATGACCTGTCTTTTCATTTCCATATTTTGTATGTTGATTATTTCTATAATACATCAGCACATTATTTCTATGTACTTCATAAGAGAATATATGTTAAATGTGGGCCATATGTATAAAAGCCTTAGCAACTACTGATCTCCAAACAATTGAATTGACTATTTAAACTCTCATCAAATATGGGTAGTGAACAACTCAAAAGGGTGTTGAGGAAGTTAGGAAATTTAAACCGATCTTCCAAAACCAGGGCTGGAGAACAATTTTGAGAAAGGGAACAATTTTGAGTTATTTTATTACATCACTAAAATACCTTGTGTTTTATTGGGTATTATTAAGCTCCACCCATTAATCACTCCAGGAAAATTCCTACTCAGAGTGAGATATGTTTTCTGATATAAAGGCAGATATTTATGTTAAGCATTTTTGGATCGTAGCAAGCAGTCTAAACAATAACCCAAGAAATTGCTGAGAGAACACTGAATTTTTTAAGAGCTTTTATAAATAGAAAAGTTAAATTTTACATCATTGTATTTAATTTATTTGCAACTTTGGCTCAAATGTTCCAGATAACTTCTTCAAACTGAGTGAAAACTTAAACAGATAAGGTCGACTCTTTCCATAAAGTTCTACCCATGTAGCTCTCTGGTGGTAGACATTTGAGTGGCATGGAGATTGTAGAATTGTTAGTAGATGCTTGATATACTGTGTTCTTTCATTTGAAGGTTCACTAATGCATCCTATAAGACTCCATTGACTCATCTGTAAACTATTTGTCTCTGTGACAGGCTTTGGAAGGTCAGCCAGTCAACACGCTGGTCACAACCATCTTTGCAAAGGATCTCGATGAAGGACTCAGTGCAGAACTTACATACTCCATCTCTCCAGGTAAAAGTCGATATTCATAGAGGATTAAGAGCTTTTAAAATTCCCTCTGTCACGTACCCCTTGTTTATTTCCTTTGGGAAAGACACTATCTCCTTGATCCCTCAATACTCCCTAGATAACTTACAATATAAAACCAAATTGCAAACCAAATTCATTTGCTATCTGTAATAATCATTCCATATTTAAGAACACAAAAGTGAATACTGAAAGTTTTGTGGAAACCACTAGCTGATTCCCTATGCCCTAAATAGAAAAAAATCCATCTTAAATGGATGACTTGTTGAGAATCTAAGGCCCAAGTCAGCTTTCATGTCAAGGAAAGTAGAAGTTAGTAGATAAGAAGAGATAATTAATGTGTGACGTGTTGGGGCACCTGTGAATATCTATGAAGACTACTCATGAGATGAGAATAAATCATGTCTACCTATATCACACCACAAATCATACCAAATATGTAGAAGACTCTATGGTGACTTTGTTAACCTAGACTTACTTTCAAGCTTTCTCTTAAAATATACAGTCTTCTAATTCAAGTAATTAGCTTTATTTGACATTGTGTGTGAGACCATCTCAAAAGGCATTTATCTTGTTTGACACCAACATGGGAAATCTAGAGACAATCTTGTCCTTGCCTGAAGCAGATTAGATTCTCTTCATGGAAAACACAAGAGATATAAGAATAGATGCTGGAATTAACATGCCTGCTTACCCTAAGGGAGTATGTTACCACATGATACTAGCATTTCAGTGATACTGTTTGAAGGGTCTCATTAATATTGCACATGAAAGACAAATGAAGTAGAGAGCTGTATGTGTACTGCTCGTGCTAGGAAAGAGAAAGGTGTTTACATGTTTATTTATTGGCTTAGAATATCTTCAATTGAAATGTCAGCCAGCGTTTGGTGGAATATGACAAATTGGTTCTAAAGTCATAATAGAAGAGCTCAACAAATGAATTTAAAACCATGTCAAATAGACTAATGGAAAATGTGCCATTAGAAGACTTTAATTTACCAAGTTTTTAAAAGGAAGACACCATAATACTGATGCATTAAAAATAGACCAGTGGACAAGATACTTCATCTAAATACATGAAGATTTGACACACAATATGCAGAAAGCAAATGGATCATCAATACATGATACAGACCTACTTTGTCACACAGATGAAAAAATAAAATTACATGTCTACTTCGTACTATACAAAACACGTCATATTTAAATGTCAAAATCTTAATTCTCACAGAAGAAAATGTAAGAAGTTGATTACTTGACATTGAGGGTAAAAAAAATCACTTTTAAACAAGAAAAAAATTTAAAGAAGTAGGTGAGTGAAATTACATTAACATTCAGAACTTCATGACATATGTCACTGTTTACTCTGTTATAAGTCTCAGATCATAGATTGGGAGAAAATAATTACAATCCTTATAATGACACAGAATTGCATTCAGCCTTAATAAGAATCCCAAAAGATCAGAAAGAACAGGACAAATAATTTAAAAACCGAGCAAAGATATTAATGAGCAATTTGTAGTCAGAATGACGCGGGCAGTTTAAAACATGTCCCCGGAGTATAGCGACTTTGAAGAACGGAGGCACACTGTGTGATAAACTTGCAGGGTTCTTGTGCTAAGTCCCAGAAGTAGCTCTTCCGTTTGACGTCCTGGAACAGCTCATGAGTCACCGAATGAGAAGGGAGCTTTGTTTCACATACTCAAACAGTATTATCTCAGAGTAAGATGCTGCCATTAAAATGAACTATCTACAACTTTATATACACCAACCGAACAAATCTTGAAATTTATTTGAAGAATGCAACTCTCAGAAGATAAAAATTCTACTTTAGTGCCTATGGTTCATGGCCATTTCCACTGGGGACAGGGACGTTGTGAGTGGTTCCTTATCGCAAGCTTAGTCAAGAAGAAAGTTCTCCTTTCCTTGTTTCCCACAAGGGGGCGCCCTGATTTCTTTACATGTAGACATTGCCCAGCTTTCTTGTTCTAGCAGAATATCTTCCTGTGGTCCTTAGGTTATTTAGATCTGTGAGGTCTCTGCATCATTTTCCTCTTCAATTTTGAGTGTACTCAAAGAACATAAAATACCTACAATAAACAATGAAGGTGAAGAAGCACACACACAAACTCTTTCTCCACCACAGACACACTCACACACACACACAAGCACACACACGCACACACACACACCACATACACACTCAGCCACACACTCTCAGTCACACACATATGCACACAAACACGCACACATGCACACACACATTCACATACATACATTTATCTGCATATTGACACACAAATACACATGCATTCATGCTCATATATATAATCACACATTCACACATGAACATTCATAGACACACACATATACATAGTCACAACTCTCCTACACACATGCATGCACGTACACCTGCACACACCCCTGCACACACACATGCACAAACACTCACACATGCACACACACATTCACAGACATACATTTAACTACATATTGACACACAAATACACGTGCATTCATGCTCATATATATATATATTCACACATGAACATTCATAGACACTCACACACATATACATAGTCACAACTCTCCTACACACATGCATGCACGTACACCTGCACACACACCTGCACACACACATGCACAAACACTCACACATGCACACACACATTCACAGACATACATTTAACTACATATTGACACACAAATACACGTGCATTCATGCTCATATATATATATATATTCACACATGAACATTCATAGACACTGACACACATATACATGGTCACACACAACTCACATACACACATTCATACATACACATGCTTGCATACACACCTGTGCCTGCGTGCGCACACACACACACACACACACACACACACACACACACTGAGCTTTGATCCCAGCATAGGATCTTTACCTGAAAGCCAGAAAAGTCACACTTCACATGTTGATGGTCCATGGACTAAAGAATAGAGAACCCATATTATCTAGGAAGGGAACTTTTCACAAGACAGATGCAACAGAAGATCTGGAAGCATACACGGACCTACTGTTTGTTTTTTATTGTTTATGTTTTTGTTTATTTAGACTGCCATTGATAAAGCATTGAAAAACAATGAAATTATTCCATGTAAAAGATGACACATTGATGTTCAGCATATATCTCTGAGTGCCTGAGATGTTACTGTTATGGGCAGCTGGTTCTTTCCTCTCACATTTACCTGGTTCCAGGACGACTTGAACACAGGTTGCTAAGCTTGGGCAGCAAGTGCTGAGCTAACTCTTTGGTCCCCTGAGATGTTATGTTAAATTAGCTTCCAAGATGATACTTGGAGTATAGCAATCTAAATATGCAATGATGTTCATTGTCTGGTTTTGCCATCTCTAATTACTAAATAGAGGCAGCTATAATTATAACATAATAATGTAATAAGATAACAATATTATAATAGCAGCAAGATTTTTTTTATCATTCATGAGAGTATTCCACGGGATTCTTATAAGAGACAGAAATGAGTGGATGAAAACAGACATCACAACTAATAAGTGTTTCATAGATGCTGGCTTCATACTCTAAATTTTCAAAGGCAGGGTTCTCTTCTATTTATATCCCTTAAAGCACGTAAAGAGTAACTGGACAGAGCTGGCTCAACAACTGTGAGAGCAGAGAATGACTTTGTATGCTCAGCTTTGTGTGGGGCTTTCACGATGCTTGAGGTATTCAGATTTGATTGAAAATTATAGTCTATGATTTAGCTAAGTACACTGTGGAATGAATTTAAATTACCTGCATTAAAATGGACTTCTGATATATTTTGGTGTGTCTGTCTGTCTACTCTGCCTACCATAAGGGCCTAGAAATCATGAGTAAACCAGAAAGAGTGAGAACTCCCTCCCATACCGAATATGGTCTCAACAAACTATTTTCTACTAAAGGGATCCAGAAATACATGGAGAAATGACAGATTTCAGATCTTAGTAGTTCTACAAGAAAAGTGCTACAGTGCACTGGGACTCTTTCCAAACACCCTAGGACAAATTCGGAAAGGATCCTACTGTTCAGTGATGGACCTATTTGAGTATCAGTAAAGATGATAATAGTGATACACTGAACCCCTTTCCTACACTGAGCTCTTCCTATAGGTTGCAAGCAGTAGTTGGGAGCTAGAGAGAAAGCTCAGTGGTTTCAGGTTCTCATTGCTATTCCAGAGGACCCAAGTTCAATTCTCAGCTCCCACACCAAGTGGCTCACAAATGCTTCTAACTCTAGTTCAAGGGGATCCAATGCCCTCTCTCTTCTGTGCTCTGCAGGTACCAACACACACACACACACACACACACACACACACACACACACACACACGCAGGAATTGGAAAGAAATTTCTTTTTTATTGAAATATTCCTGTTAATAAATGAAGAGAAAGGGGAGCTACCTATGTTTTGGAATAATTAATGAACCCACAGATCTGGGGTTTGAGGCAGGTGAGCCAACATCAAGACCAAAGAGTAACTGGGCATGTAATTCTGAAGGGAAATACGGTATTGTGATGTACTCTCCAAAAAATTCTACCCAAATTGGATCAGTTCTCCAGATCTACCTCCTGATTCGAAGAACTTCAAGAAAGTATAACTATTTAAGGAAAAGAGAAAAGATCTAGGGAAGACTTGAGCTGTACATTGGGGAGGTAGAAACCAGATACAGGCCATTACTGATCCAATGTTAACAAATGTTAACATCTATGGATGGCAGAATTCTGTAAATGGTCTCACTACATTACTCAGGATGGCCGGGCAAGATCTTTCTACTGGACTATAGGCTCATGCATCACCATGCCTAGTGATCTACTTTTTCATTTTTATGTGCTTAAACTTAAGAATATCTTGTCTATATTTTAGTGTCATGTAAAAATTAAACTCCTATTAGCTGTGTATATAAATGTGAAAGCCAGAGAGATTAGAGTGATGTTGAGTGCTGTTTTTGATACAAATATGTAACAGTACACTATAAAGGATTTAAACGGGGTAAACTGCTCCTCACACCCTCAAGGAATTAAGACCAAATTAATATTCTGTAGCTCCTCAAGCTCTCAAGAAATTTAAAGTAAATATATGTTCTGAAATATGACCACATTAACTGAATTGATCCTATCTTCTGCTCTATAAGTTAATTTAGTTTCTCCATTTTTGTGTATAGATTATCCTGCTCACTTTAAGATTGATGCCAACAATGGTGAAATAAGAACAACTGTGATACTTTCCCATGACTATAGACCTTCCTATAGGATGACAGTCATTGCCAGTGACCAGGGAGTGCCCCCTCTTCAAGGACAGGCAATTATTAATATTCAGGTAATGGTATCAACATAAAATGTGGAAGAATATTCTGAGAGTATCACTTGATTTTTAAACAAGTAGACAGTATGAAAACATTCCCAGTGTGTAGATCCTATTTCAAGAGTATATTACATGCAATGCTTACCTTCTTGTTTTTGTTTGAGAAAAAATTAAGTAGAAATAACTTTTGAACTAGTTATATGCAGTTCTTGACAAGCTCTCCTTCACTACATAGACACTTGTGTAGCTTTGGGTGTGATGTGATGTGATGTGATGTGATGTGACTTTTCTCTTACTTCTGTGTACAATGAGTTGGTAGGTTTGTGGGAGGTCCTTGTATGTAAACAAATGGCCACAGGATAAACCACATGGTGTTTTGAAAAATTCAAAGCTTCTAACAATTACTTGAAATCCATATGACAAAGCTTTGCATTAATCAAATAACAGTAACAGCAACAACAATAAAACCGAGTCAGGGGACATCTTTGTAGGAGGAGAAAATTACCTACAGTCAGTCAAAATGAGGGTGATTGTTCATAGCTAGACTTCTTGTTGACCACATAGTGAGTAATGTCAGTACAGTATATAAATATAATATAGGCTTGTGTGTATACAATAGCAGAGTTTATTTCTCCAAGAATACTGTTTTCAGATTATGTCTTTCAAAATTAAATTGTGATTTAGGAGAAAAATTGATGTGGTCAAACTTTTAGTGTTTTTGTTTCAACAAAGACACTTGATATTTCAGTGCCCAAAGGTCATTGTTGCTAACTCATCTCAAGGATTTGGGGTAATTTGGAGAATTAGATGTCCAACATTCACTTTAGAGAATTACCAAGTATGTTCCAGAAGAACCATGGTACTGCCTTACAAAACAGTCTTTCATGTATTTCAGCAAGTTAAAAAGTGGGAAACTATATTCTTCTTTTATATATAGAACAAATTTCAGTCTTTTGGTACATTAGAATTCTATTAAAAGGTGTTTTCTCATCAATTAACACACATATAAACGAATAGAAATCTGCTTCCAATATAGTGTCATAATATATACTGATGCTTAAACTTACCTTTTAGCAGTGATACCTGAAGCTAATTTCAAAGTACTCTGTATCAACAGAATTTTTGCTCTTATTTTAGGTTATACCACTCTCCAAAGGGATGGCTTTTATGTCTCAGAATATCAGACATTTAGTGATCCCAGAAAACACGAAGACTGCAAAAATCATGAGCCTGATGAAGTCTCCCGACCCCTTTCAACAGTACCATAGTGAGAAGTTACACTTTAGTATTGTTGCAGAGGACAAGGATGACCACTTTGAAATTGATAGCTCTACAGGAGACTTGTTCCTCTCCAAGGAACTTGACTATGAAATTACATCTCACTATCTTATTAGGGTGATTTCTAAAGACCATAGCCAAAGCCCTCTGTGGAACAGCACGGTCTTCCTTAGTGTTGATGTGGAAGATCAGAATGACCATTCCCCATCCTTCCAGGATGAGTTCATTGTGATAAGTGTGGAGGAGAATGTCCCCGTAGGGACTTTGGTGTACATCTTCAATGCCAAAGATGGTGACGGCAGTTTTCTGAACAGTAGGATACAATACTTTGCAGAATGCAGCCATGTTGGAACGAACCCATTTCTCATCCACCCCTCCTCTGGCACACTGGTCACGGCATCTCCCCTGGACAGAGAAGATGCTCCGTCTTTTATACTGACCATCACTGCATCTGATCAGGCTGTGAATGTGACAGACCGGCGATGGCGGTCACTGGTAGCAGAAGTGATGGTTTTGGATGTGAATGACCACAGCCCCACCTTTGTGTCTCATTCCATCACCTCTGTCAGAGAGGATGCTGAAGTGGGCTCCCTGGTGCACCGTGTAAGTGCCCAGGATCCAGATGCAGACATGAATGGAAAAGTAACATACAGCATCCTCTCAGGAAATGAGGACATGCTCTTCATGTTAGACGGGTCATCAGGTACAGTACTCTGGGTGCCACTACTAAATCATCTTATTTTATTTTACTAAATATTTTTATGTTTGTTTTCATACATTCCAGGGTGACTTCAAAGCCACTGTTTAGTTGAGTATGACTTTAAACTCCTGATCTGCTTCTCAAGCACTAAGATTGCAGATATATACTACTATGCCCAAATTTGCAGAAATAAATTTAACATGAGCACAACATTCCTAACACTTTTATTCAAAGAATACATATTCTTGACTATGGACTCAGTGCTACACAATTGAACTCAAAGGTCACTCTTTTTACTTAATCTAAACCGTTTTTTCTCATTTCCTCTTCTATGACAAGCACAACTCCTCTTGGTAGTTCTATAAATTTAATTATTTTGGAAAGCTTAGATAAATAGAAAATAGAATCATGCAGTGTTTGTTTTTGTATGACTAGCTTATTTCAGTCAGGACATTATTTTCCAAGTCTACACATGCCATCACATATAACAGAATTCTCTTGTAATTTTTAAGGACTATTGCATGCATGTATCATATTTTCTATCTGCTGATAGACCTCTGAGTCATTTTTTTAACTTTGACTATTATGAACAGTACAGAAGTAAACTTGACGTTGTCACTACTTCTTGTTGACCCTGACTGCGATCCTTTTGCACAAATATCCAGAAGTAGTATTGTTATAGCTGCTTCAGAAGGATGAGATCTTATGCTAACTTAAAAATATTTTTGAGGAATTGCCATACTGTTTTCCACTTGAAATGTTCTGCATTAAAACCAACAGTGGGCAAGGGTTTCCATGTCTCTGCATCCCTACCCTTCTTTTATTATTTATATTTCTATAATAGAACAATGCCCGTAGTTGTTGTGTGACAGAGTTTTCCTGGAGAGATGTAACACACATGCATGAATGCTCACACACACTGACATATATATATATATATCACAGATATTGTGTTCAGAGAGCTAAGTTTATTGAACTGTTTGTTGATATTAACTGTGCTTCATAGCTAGCTGTAACTTGTGGGCTGAGGATGCAATAACCACCATCATGAGTGCTTGAAGTAGGAATACTACTAGAAATAAAACAAGGTGGCTATATGGCAAATAAGCATCATTATGCAAAGACTTTGGTGTGGAAATTGGCCTTTAGATCATATAAACCAGCACTGGTAGTAACTGGAAATAGCTTACAGGTTTTAATGTTTGAATTCTTTGCTCATTAGGGATGTTGTTTTTCACAGCAGTTGTAGCATTTTACTATTTACATTAGCATTCACTCAATGTCATTCACTCTGCACAAATGTCACTCACTGCCCTTTCATTGGTCTTCCTGTTATCATGTTGTCAAGTGGCATCCACTATTTTTTATGTGATATGATTAAAAAGAATATATGCAAAGTATCAGCCCTATTGATTTGGAAATGGACTTTCCTTTACATGATTTTCAGGACAATTATAAAACTTATGGAGTACTATCCAATTGTCTATAAAGCAGTGGTTTCAACATGAACCTTAGGAAGAAAGGCTCAGATGTAAACTGTTTGGCCAGCTGTAAAGAACATTATTTGGAATTAAAGCGAATGTGAAGATTTGGAGGTTGTGAGCATAGTTGTTTCTCTTCTGTTGGGAAATTTTATCAGAAAATTTCTCAAATCCTGACATATGGTTCCCTTCTGAGGCTTGCCTGAGCACCACCAAAGTGCCCAGCTGATAGGAGACTCTCCAGACACAGGCTGATGATTTCTGCAAGAGCTGTGCCTCTCCTTAGAGCTGATTTAATGGTACTTTAAATGCTTTCCAAGATGCTTCAGAAAGGTCTGTTTCAGACTATTAAAGAGGAAGAATAAACTTGAATTGTGTCTTAGTAAGGCCAACATCATGAATCTTGAGCTATTACAATGAATATGTCTTTCTAGGTATTTTTCAAAGGCATAAAATGATAATTGCAGAATGAATCCATGTGAGATGGGAGGTTTTTTCTTTCTTCTCACAAGAATCGTATTTCTAATAGAAAGTAAAACATAGTGAGTTTTCCTTTGTCTCCAATATATATAATGATGGGTAATGATTGGAAAAACTATTTCAAACATCTGATTCAATATTTAATTATTTGATGAAAATTTTTAGGGAAGCAGTTAGCCATAAAAGAAACATACCTCAGTTATTATTCTACAATGGTTATCTATGTAAAATACTGTAAATGCACAGGTTATGTGACTCAGTGCAGTGGTATAGGGAGGTGGCTTATTTGTGAAGTTTACTGTCTGAATTTCAATATCTGTGTCCTTTATTTTTCTTAAAACAAATGATGGCTGACTACGAGCAAGAAGATAATTCTTTAACAGGAACCAATGTCTTGAACACCAGAGCCATATGCACTTTTTTATAATGTGGTTACATTGAAGTGTGTCATGTGTCACAGAATATGTGTCATTACTATCATAAATATGTTTAAAAGTGAGGGAAATTTTGGGTAGACTAATAACTTAGATAATATTTTTAAAATTGTCATTTGTCATTATAACTTAAATTGACATTTCTGACCAAGAGTGTTAGTAGAAAATTTATGATTTTAAAGTAGGTTCAATAAATTTCATTCTCTTTTTTAATGATTCATTCCTTAGCAATGGAAGCTGAGTGTTTAGTCTTATATTGTAACATAAGCCAAGGTAGAGTAAATGGTCCTAAAACTAGCAACACCCATAGCATGCCATGTCTTCTCTCCCAAAGCAGGCTTTCTGAGGACAGCTTGTCTTCTGGATTATGAAGTGAAAACCCAGCACATCTTGACCCTCATGGCCCATGATGGTGGCACACCAGCACTTTCTTCATCGCAGACCCTGACAGTCACTGTCCTTGATGTCAATGACGAATCACCAGTGTTTAAGCAACTCACATACAAAGCTTCAGTTAGAGAAAACCAAAGTCCTGGGGTGTTTGTTACAAGGGTTGAAGCTGAGGACTCTGATTCAGGTAATCTGCAAACTATAGAAACTAGGTAATGGGCACGATTAAAACACACACGCACACACACACACACACACACACACAACGGTTATAGTTGGCATAAAATAATGGTTTTAGGAAAGTGAAACCTATGAGCTGTCACAGTGGGAAAGCGCTTGCCAGGGAACCCGGTGACTTGAGTTGGGTTTCTGGAACCCATGATGGGAGGACATAAATGAGTCTTGAATGTTCTCTTCTGACCTCCACATGTGTGCTATGAGACAAGCATGAACATGTGCACACACACAAATAGTAATAGCAAATCAATTAAAAAAATAACAGTTATGGGGAAATGAAGACACTACCTGTCTCAAATATCAAGTATTTTCAGCAACATACATGAAACCAACAGTTATAGATGATGTGTTTCTTTATCTAGCATCTCTTTGTATTAATCTTTATTATTATTTAGAGTGGTACGCACCTAATTGACATCTCATTTATTGATTTCACTGAGACAGCAAACAGAGGTCTGCTAACGGCGTCACGTTTATCTCAAAGTGCATCGAGCATGAGTGTGCAGTGGCTCACCATCTCCTCTGTGTAAGTCAGGCTTGCTCCAAGAGCTATGGAGCTGATATCAGACTGCCCAGGTTTGAATCCTAGAATTATCTCTTACTTAAGCTGTGTAACCATGAAGAAGTTACGAATCCTCTCTGTTCCTATTGTAATCCTCTCTGTAAAATGGGGACAGTTGTGGTGTTTAATATGCAGTCGTGTTGTAAGCACGAAAGCATTACTATATGAAAAGAGAGTTCATACTAATATCTGGCACAGTGAGTGGCCAATGTTAACTCCTGTTTCTACTGTTATAATTAACACAGAGTACAGACATCTGAAGTGAGTAGTTACTGTGGCTGGGAATTTATGAGTGTCTCTGACTTGCTTTTGAACATCCCTGGAGCTCTTTTGGGTGTTTTAGGCACAGTAGTTTTCATGATACTCTGTTTTAGGCACAGTAGTTTTAGTGATACTCTGTTTTTACTTTAAACTAAATAATGATAAAAATCGACAGCTCCGTGTTTGCTATTAACAGTACATTCCGAGTTTTCCCATCGGGACTAAAACAAAGCATTTAATTAGCCAGCCCTTAAAACTTACAGTTATAAGATTTACATTTACAAATGTTTCCACAAAACCGATAAAGGAATAGGGTCACTCGGCTGCTTTGCTCTCTTAGGATGCACCACTGTGCAAGGATGGACGTCTAATGTGAATTTGAGATGCTAGGGACACTTTTCAAGGGCTCGAATAATTTTCCCTCTTTGACCAGAGTGGGGCAGTGTGATCAAAGACTTTTCCTCACTGTGCTCAGAAAGGCGCATGCTCACAGCCGTTCTCAGGGCGGCTTAGAGACTGGAGCTTTTCCAGCACTGTTTGCTTTTTAGGGCAGCGGTTCTTAACCTATGACTTTGCCATTAGAAAACAGGGACGTTTATATCACCATTCATAACAATAGCGAAATTACAGTTATGAAGTAGCAACGAAAATAACGTTATGGTTGGGGGTTATCCCAACATGAAGCATTGTGTTAAAGGGTCTCAGCATTAGAAGGGGATAGGAACAAGGGGGAATACACCAGCTGTGCTTTTCACAGTGATCTCAGAGAACAAGCACAAGTATGCTGGTATCTCGGTGGCCCTGGCTCAGCAAGGCTCCCTTCCAAGGTTCCCTGCTGTAAACAGCCCCGGGAGCCTGGGCGGGGCACAGGACCACTTCACAAAGTGGACTGCAGGACTGCATAGGTTGAGCCCCCTGCTGACTTAGACTCGTGCAATCTCTTCTCCCCTCGACTTCACTTTGTTAATTTCATTTTCTATACTGGGTCCTATTGAAAAGGGAGAAAGGAATTTCTCTCAAAATTTTGCATTTATTAACAAAACACGGGTGCCATAAGTAATTACTATTTTTTTTGGTTGTGAAGCTTCCTAGTGTTAATGTTATTCACATTGATTATATTTGAACTGAATTATAGTCATCAAAATTGCAACTGAAAGTTACTATTTTTGTGACTTTACATTAATGGAGGTTCGAAACACCATTTAACATCATCCCAAATCTCATCTAATCTTTCATGTCTCGGAGATGGTTTGAGTTGCTGGAAGTCTTCACTTCCAAAATTTTTTAAATTTAAACTTTTATTTTGTTGTGAGAATTTCTTATGAGTACTGTATTTGCTGTTTTCAATGAAGCCTGATCTGTTAAGGTGGTGTAGATACATGTGACTCTCTCTCTCTCTCTCTCTCTCTCTCTCTCTCTCTCTCTCTCTCTCTCTCTCTCTCTCTCTGTCTGTCTCTGTATGTGTGTGTGTGCTTGAATGTATTTCCTCTAGATCTTTTTTTGCACTGAGTGAGTTAAAACAATGAAACAGGATTATGCATGAGAATTAAATGACGTACTTAAGAATTTAACATAACTGGCATAGGAATGGAATTTATGAATGGTTTACTTTATAGTATATATTAAAAAAATACTATAGTGTTACTTAATACCAGAGAGCTGAGCATATGTGTTCTGGCATTCTAGAATGCAGGTTTTTGAAATGTAAGCACTCCGTGCTGTTTGGCATTCAATGTCCAAAGGGATTTGAATGTTTATATTGTGTGACTCACTCTAAATGTAGCAGGATTTTTTCTTGTATTAAAAGAAAAAAACAACTACCCAATTTTTACTGGGGTATTAAAATTTTCCCAGCTTTTAGTACCCCAACAAGAGCTCCATTGTTAGTGTGCAAAGATGACTGTGGCTGCCCCTGGCTTCCTGGAGGAAGAGGCGTCTCACAGGGTACATGAGTTAGGGGTATACCACTTGCTCAGCAGGGGTGGAACACAACACTTTAACGTAACAGTGCATCAGTCAGTAAGATGGTACGCTTTTATTTCATGCAAATGTCCTGTCTGTCCAGTGTCATTTTAAATCAGCTACATCTGGTTTCCTGACAGGACTTTCTCTGTGTGTGATGGACAGCTGTATCCTGACAGGACTTCCTCTGTGTTTGATGGACAGCTGTATACTTCAAAACCCACTTTTGGAGTCAGGAAAAGGCGTAGCATTTCAATGACTCTAATTCTGAGACCACTATTCATATTATTCATCTACATCAGATATGTGAAATGTGGGAGAAAAGATGTTTTAGAATGAAGGGAAGAAGGTAAATTGGGATTCCTTACCCCTCAGCCTTTGGAGTACTACCAGTATCATCCTAAGAACGGTCATTATGTTCATCTTCTGAGAGAAGACTTCGTGTGCTCGTTAAATCAAAGGATAAAAAGATACTAAAACATCTTTTTTTATTATCTGGGCACGAACCCAGGGTTTTGCACATGTTAGGCAAGTGCTCTATCACTGAACTTCACCCCCATCCTTAGATACTAAACTATCTTAATATATAGCATTTTGTAATAATTTCTCTCAGCAGCAGAAACTCTTTTTAGTGCCAATTTCTTGATCATGGCATCTCTCCTGCCAGGCAGGTATAATGTCACTCTCTTTATGAAGATGCCTTTTCTCTGGGCATCTAATGACAAAAACACTCATCAATTGCTCATCTGAATTCTGTTGTGGTTGCTCATCAACCTGACTTCTGAGTCTTTTTCTACAGCACTTACTGGCTTTAGCGTCAGCTCAACTCAGAGGTGCATTAAGATAGGATTCAGGCACCCAGCAGTCTTACTCATCCCCTTCCTGAGTCTAGAGACTCATTTCAATCACATCCTAGCAGAGGAATTGAGAGGGAAGTTAGGCCAGTGGGAAGGTAGAACTTTTAGTTTCTCAATCTAAGACCATTGCTCAAGGAGCCACAGTGACACACTAATGGCTTAGGTTACTATTCCGGCTAATCTCTTACTATTGTTCTGTTGGTCTTTTGTTAGTATCTTGTTGATCCACCCTATATAGATTCTCTCCATATAGATTCCAGCTATAAATGCACTTATAGAAAGGGGGAAATGAATAAGGACCAATCATGATCTTACTCACTCAAGGAATCTTTGTTAAATTTTCTTTTAAACTCTAACTTCCTTGTATTTTTCAACTGTCTCCTTTCTACACTATAAACTATTGCATTCAGTATGTTTTCTCTCTCTTATCCTCAGTTCTATGGTGGTGAGAGATGATGGAGGCACTCAATCAGTATTTTTGGCCTCATGATTTGAGAAACCAAACCCCACGAATCATAAATAGCTTCAGGCTACTTTAATCTTTGAAATATATTTATTTACTTATTTTCATTACTCTCCCCAAAGGTGATGAAGAATATCCTCTTTTGGGTTCAGAAATCTCTGAGGGTGTGATAATTATGTCATTGTTAAAGACATGAAAAAATGGCCTTCCTAATTGGAAAACAGTATTCCACATTATCCCTAGTAAACATAAAATGTCAGTAAGAATTCACAAGCCAGTGCTATATTCTGCTTTAAGACATAGGTCTTTCTCATGTAGTTAAAATAGGTTTTATGCAAATTCCTCAGGTTTATGCCAATATTAATTATTATCTTTCTACAACTTAGACAGGTTTGCCTTTTGCTGCCTGCCATAATGCAGACTCTCAATTTGGATTTTAGCAGACTTTTGCATTACCTTGTCTCTGTTTTGTATCTGCTACTCAGTGTAAGTCCTGTCTTCAAGGACATTTATCTTGGGTCTTTCAGAGTAGATTGGTTATCTTCTATGAGTTAAGCTGCAAGTTTAAAACTCAACTTGTAATTTGCTTTCTATTAATTATGGTGACATTTGGTTTCCTAACCAGTTTGAATCTCTTAATGATTACTTCATTATAGTCCAACCTTAGTGGCTGGCTGTCTATGCTATCACAAAATAATGATTTATTGGCATTGTCTTTCCTGTGACAAGACACTCAGCACTCTATTCAAGGACAAAGAGTCCACATTCCCTGGTAGGCAAGACCTTCTCTTGGTGACAAATGTTCTAACCAGCTAAGAATATTAGATGCTGTAATACTATTGCTGGGCAGTTGACTAAGCAAAGCAACACTATGAAGGTGGGGGTGAGGAGTGGAGGATGAGTCTGGAAACAACTACCATTTAAATAAAAAAGAGAACATTTGGAACGCAGAGGACTGACTATCCGAGGAGGAGATGTGCAGAATCTGGATCTTGGAATGTTAAAAGGACAGAATAGCACTTACAAGATGATGTGCTATTAAGAAGAAGAAAATCCAATTTTGTTCTCCTTTAAAAATAGTTATTGTTTAATGTGTTTTGACTATTTTGCCCGCATGTATGTATATGCGTAATATATGTGCAATGCCCATGAAGGCCAGAAGAGGGCACCAGGTTCCCCCAAAACTAAAGTTAGAGAGAGGCCATGTGGATTCTGGGACCTGAACCCAGGTCTTCAGAAAGAATAGTAAATGCTCTTAACTGCTGAGCTGTGTCCCCAGCCCCTTCTCCTCCTTCAGACTTTCAATCTCCTTCTAGCATCCCCTTATGGCAACTTGTTGAAGAAGATGCTTGGAGGAACCCATTGGGCAAAGGAGAGCTGTAGTCTCAGATTCTACTGTATCTTTGGCATGGAAGCGCAGATTTAGATTTGAGACACAGCAGTCGTTTGAGCACTATCTTTTAAAAAATGAAGGAATAACAAGCAGGAAACAACAGTTAGGGAGCATGCAAGCAAAATGAAACTTAGTGTGTTCAGGGAGCAGGAGGGAGGTAAGGCCAGGAGGGGTAGAGCAGGGGTGTGAGCCGTGAGAAGAGTTGCAGGAATAAGCAGAGTCATGAGGGACTCTGAAGATGCTGGTGGCATGTGCGGATTTTATTTTGAGTGCATCCACTCTTCCTTGCTCTTTGTTGGATAACTCTTGTTCATCTTCATGGTCCCACAGAGCATCTCTGCTTATCAGTCGTGCCACGGCATGTAGCGCTGTGCTTGCGTGCTTACTTGTTTGTACTGAGTGCTGAGCCTTGTGAGGAGGAAGACTTCGTGCTCTTCCCAGCGCTACGTTTTTGTCACTGCCTGTTGCCTTAGAACATTCCATGCTTACTGAATGAAATAAAGAATATATTACCTGTAGTGGGTCTTGTCTGAATCTACTTCCCCCTGAAGTCTATCCCATCACTCTTTACAACGCTTTTATTTAATTGTCTATACCACAAGAAAGGAGCTCTGGAGACCAACATAACTGTCTTAACAATATCTTCCCAAGTCTAACATTCTGTAAGTGCACATGAATAATTGAGCACAAGAGGGAAGAAATGAGAGGCTAGAGGAAGGAAGAAAGGAGTGAGGAAAGAAGGGAAGGAAGGAAGGAAGGAAGGAAGAAAGGAGTTAAATGACCAAACAAATAATTGGAGTAAAATATGAACACATGGTGTCATTTGGAGTCATTAGGAAAGAAATAGATGAATCTGTAGTCAGCTCTACCTCTATCCATTAGAGTGAGATGCTAATTAAACTATGACTAGAATAAGCCCTTTTCATCCCACCCTGGAAACAAGGAGTAAAATATGGCATAGAGAAACAATGAGGGATTGTATCACAATTGTGGAATGCCTTCCAAGCATGTGCAAGGCCCTGGATTCCATATATAGCACCAAAACAACTGATAAACAGATCAATATAATAAACAAAAATTCTAAGCAAAGAAAAAGAAAGCAAAAACATTTCTTTTCTACTCCTCTTTCTGTGTTTTCCCTCTGTTTTTGTTCCTTTAAGTCTTTCTGGGTGTCAGTCAGCAATTGATAATACCATGGAGAAGCTAAATAGGTAAGAACTAAAATAGCTAGTAGATTTCATGATCAGAAAATTCATTGCTCATATCAGAAAGAATAGCTAGCGGTGATTAATTTGAAGTTGCCCCCGAGAATGGACAACATCTTTAAGTGAAATTTGGCAATACTGAGAAGGACTTAATTCTTGCAGTTTCTGAGGACAGGAAAAACTATAGTGGAAACATTAGAAACTTCAGGAAAATTCCAAACCTGAACAGTTGAAGAATTAAAATGGGCAGATAGAGACAGGGTTGAATATGGATTCAGATAATTAAAGGAATTCTTTCTCAATATTTCCTTTCTGTCTGAGAAATACAAAGGAGCCTGTGGGAGTGAGCCAGCACATGTTTGGTGGGAGATCTTACAGATGAGCTATGACTGAGGACAGTCACACATGATAGTGACATTTCTGCGACCTTAGCCTGAGTTAGGACCTTCTCTCCATCTTAACTTCTGTTGGATAACCAAAGAGAGCAGAGAGATGGCTGGACTGAGCTTAGGCTGCCACTCTACTGGGAATCTTCAACCCCAAGACACAGGGCAAAAGCAAGTTATGCTGGGCTGCAGAGGGAAAGTCATTGGGGGGTGCTTTCTAGGGGCATGAGGAAGAATCCATGGGACTGAAGGTATTGAGGTCTAATATGAGATAATGTCATGTGCACTGAGAAGCAATTGGTCATGCATTCATCCTTCATTAGGCATGCATCATGAGGACTGCACTAAATATCTGCAGACACAGGCTTCCAACTTGTTTACTAAGGTAATGGGATTAGACAAAGTCATCTCTATTTCTCTTCTAGTTTCTTATTCTCTTGTTTGTTCTGGATAATTACAAGGGTGTGAGGAGGAATAAGCAAGTAACTACTTACAACCACAAAAATGGGAGGAATTATTTTTGAAATGCATAGCAATGTGGTATGGCACTCCTCATACTAGATAGGAGACCAACTGCTGGGTTAAACACAAGACAAAGCAAGAATAAGCACACGAGCAACCCTGCGGGCCTGCCTCCTGAGGTCGAGAATAAACAGAGTCCTGCAGCTGAGCACAGAACTTTTAAACAGGCTAATCTACAGAAATTGTAATCCGTTCCACAAGTTCACAATTATGCCATTAAGTCACAATCAGGGGTGTTAAGAGGAGTAATTAGGACTATGTTGTAGAGTTGCTCACTCCTAAGAAAAAGTTTATGGGAAGGAAAAAATCCTAAGCATTCACTGTGGGCAAATCTCATAAGGCTTTTGAAAAAGCAAGCATTTCTGCACATAGGGCTGCCATTCCAGAAGAACAGACAGAGGTGTTGTCATCTACTTTAATCTGAAGACTTTTAAAGAATCTTGCCTTTCTCATCTACAGCCTGATATATTCATATGAAAATGGTAACCTTAACCCGAGGAGAGAATTGCTAAGCTTTGCTTTATTTTTTCCTTAAGGAGTCAATTCTGAACTTCAGTTTGAAATCATGCCAGGGCCTGCCTTTGGGTTGTTTGAGATCAACCCTGATACAGGAGAGGTGGTGACAACTGTCACATTTGACAGAGAAGCTCAAGAAATCTTCACACTTCGAGGTAAGGGAGCTGTTGCCCACTATAGAATCTCAAAGGATTCAGAAGGGTTATCAGTGAGACTCAGCATTTCTTTTTCAAAAAAATTTATTTAAAAATGTACATTTACATGTGTGTGCCTGCTTGTCTGTATGCACACCATGAGTCTGCAGTACCCATGGAGGCCTGGAAAGTCTGTTCAATCCCATTGAATTGAGTTATAGCTGGTCGTGAGCTTCCTAATTGGGTTCTGGTCCTTTGGAAGTATAGCAATTTCTCTTAAATGGAGAGCCTTTTCTCTAAGCCTGAAATTTAATATTTCTGTAAGATGTCTTTCAATGAAATATTATTGGCCCAGGGTCACCCAGTTGGTTCAGTCTCATGCTGTGTAACCAGAACAATGTATCTTGGGTATGTATTCACAGCCTCACAGCCACAAACCATCCTTCTTTGTGTTTATTGTTAGTACTTGCACGGGACGGTGGTGTCCCTTCATTGTCTGGCACTGCAACCATCATCTGCACCATTGAAGACGAAAATGACCATTCCCCAGAGCTTATTGTCCTCAGCCATGACATTGAAGTGCTGGAGAACCAAGATCCAGGGGTTGTCTATACTGCGTTGGCTTTCGATATGGATGCCGGCAACAATGGAGCTGTCACCTATCGCATAGCTGGTGAGTACAGGAAAGCCAGGGTCCTCTCTGGCTACTTACCAAGTAGGTGGTCTGGTCATTCTTCTGTTTTGGTGTCTGTTGTATTTGCCTACAAAATTCACACCTAATGAGAACTGCTGCTCCCTCCCTCACTCACCCAACTGGGGGCTTCCTCTGCCCACCCTGGATCAACACCCTCCAAATTTTCCAAGGTCATGGTCTTGAAGGCTTTTTTGAATTTGCATCTATGTAAATAATAGGGCAAATACAGATAGAACAGATGTACACTTCCTATATTATTTTTCTTTATGATTGCTTATTCTATTCTTTACATCTTGAGTTGATAATTCCTTCTATATTCTGTTACAATTTACTATAATGAAGTAGTTTTTTTATTCTTATATCAATTATTGACACTCTTTTTTCTGTAAATGAATATCTGCATATATTGAAATGGGAGCTACTTAAAATTTAATAAATATGCCGGGCGGTGGTGGCGCACGCCTTTAATCCCAGCACTCGGGAGGCAGAGGCAGGCGGATCTCTGTGAGTTCGAGGCCGGGCTGGATCGATAGCCTCCGAAACAATACAGAGAAACCCTGTCTCGTAAAAACCAAAAAAAAAAAAATTAATAAATATGGAATCTAAGCTTAAAAGTCATTTTAGGTTGAGTTGATTATTGAAAGATTAAAACTTCAAAGATACTGTCCAGGTTTTCATAATAGTTTATTAAGAACAAAATTGTGTTGGAAATGACCTCTTAGTAGAATTGATGGATATCTTTTTTCCAGTTTATGAGTGTAGATCTTTCTTTCTTTCTTCCTTTCCTCCCTCCCTCCCTCCCTCCCTCCCTCCCTCCCTCCCTCCCTCCCTCCCTCCCTCCCTCCCTCCCTCCCTCTCTCCCTCCCTCCCTCCCTCTCTCCCTTCCTCTTGCTTAGCTGGGAGTATATAGCAATCTGCTGCTTTAGAGTAAGAGAGAGAACAGCAACAGGCCTCCTTACAGACACAGTAACTGTCCACATTTTAAGACTTCTCCTTTGGTGCTAAGAATGGAGTTCAGAGTTCGGGCCTTCAGAAGCATTGAGTGTCTGCTCTCCCACAGCTCTCCTCCATCCACCCCTTGTGCACATCCTGAAAGCAGGGAGGAGAGTCACTTGCTAGAAGTAAACTTAGAACTTGAACATCATATTCTGAGTTTTATGTCCCCCAAACCAATTCAGAGCTTTTGCTGTGATTTACCCATCACAGGAAATTGAGTACACCTTGTAATGTGGTTAATAGCAAGGTCCTTTTTTTTTTGTATGAAGTAGGATGTGTTCTTCAGTGATTAAAAACCAATGTGTCAGCATTGTTGATCAGTGGGGGGGAGCTGATCAACAGTATTAGGTGGGGATGGCCTCCTATTTACCAGTCATTTGTTTTTGTCTGAGAAAGGGGTGATAATAAAGGTGAGGATGGCAGAGTAAACCTTATGTGGATGTGACCAACACCATGGCCAAAAGCAACTTGGGGAGGAAAGGGTTTATTTCATCTTACAGCTTACAGTCCATCATGAACAGAAGCCAGGGCAGGAACTCAAGGCAGGAGCCTGGAGGCAAAGACTGCATCAGAGGCCATGAAGCAGTGCTGCATACCTCCATGATCCTCAGGGCTCACACTCAGCTCTCTTTCTTATATAGCCCAGGGCGCCTGCCTAGGGCTGGCCCTGCCCACAGTGGGCTGGGCCTTCCGGCATCAATCATTCATCAAGAAAATGCCTTCGCAGACTTACGTAGAGGCCAATCTGATGGAGGCAAGTTTTCCTGGAGGTTCCCTCTTTCAAGATGAGCCTAGTTTTGTGTCAAGTTGATGAATTCTTAGGCAAAATATTTTTAGCAATAGGTTGTATAAACTGAGCTTTTGGGCACTAAAGTTACATGTCTATAGATACTCCTTGGAAAGTTTTACATTATGTAACCCCTGACATCCTTAAGTGTTATTATAGGAACGATTCATCTAAACATCATTCATTTTTCATGCTAGTATTTTGTAATAATAACAAAAATACTTGATATGATTAACTTTTAGAGGGACGTTTTTAATTCATGATTGATTGGACTATTACTTTAGGACTGTAGTAGAACATCACGGCAACTACATATGACAAGTTAAACTAAACCTGCTTATATTGTACAAGAGTTGAAAATGAAGGCTCCCATGATCTGCCTTAAGGGCGCATTCCCTATAGCTTACAGACTCACCTGGCCCCATGTCCTAAAGGTACCGTTATCTTGTAGCAGCACCACCTGGGGCCTATTCAATATCAAAACCTCAGCGTTTACTGATGCTAAGTCATGACTATTTCCTTCCTGTGTCTTGCTTTGTCTCCTTCGTACTCCTAGAATGTACCCATTTCCTCTATGTGCCTACTGTTTCAGAGTCCTCTCCTTCCTGATTGCTCAAGTGCAGATAAAATAACTCCCTCCTAAACCTCCACGTTCTCATAAACTATTACCTTGATTCCTCAGTCTTCCTCCTAAAATGGAAACCTGACTCGTAGCTCTGTTAAAATCCTCCCTGTTCTCCCCTTTAGGTTCTGCAGTGAAATATAGGCTAATTGTGGTGTGACCTTGCTTTCCTCTCAAATCCACGCCTTCACTTGTGACAACTCGTTTCGTATCTTCTACATGCAAACTCCAAGGGAATCCACTTTGTTTAATTGCTCCAAGACATTTCAGCTACTAAGTGCTCATATTTCTGGGACTTCATGCACAGTCTTTGCTTTACACAGAATACTGTCTCCAAAATTTGTAGTCTTGCTTCTTTCCACTGAACACGGAAGGGTGAATTTGGATGTTATTGTTTCCAATAGCGTGTTGTGGCCATGCTAATATGTTATACGTTGTTGGATCCCTGTGCACCCGTACCATCTAAATAGGAGTGTAAAGAGCATACCATAATGTCTGTGTCCTGCCCTGCTCTTTCTAGACAGTAAGATCTCGGGAGCTAGATACTATGTCTAACTCTTCCTTATCGTGCCAATATGAAGCGTATTTGCAGTATACAGTAAGAGTTAATACTCGTTACACAATAGCACCACACTGTTCATTGAGCAAATGAACTGATTTCTCAGTCACAAATATCATATAATGCATCTGACCATCCTTATGTTGGATGTAGATTAGCTGTGTCATATAAATAAAAAGGCAGGATGTCCCTCCTGAGTCCCTACACTATTTATTGTGATCATTTATTCCCATATGCTTTAGGTACTTACAAACTAGTAAGGCCCCCATACCACTGAGGCTGGCTCTTTGATCCTGCCACTCATTCAAGAATATGGCCAACGAGTCTCTGAACCGTGCTCACTTCAGTAATGCACACCGATGACTTGGAGACATTTTGCCTCTGTGTTCAATTATAACTTTTATTAGAGTTGGTTCCATGGAAGATAGTAAAGAACACATATTTTGAAAGATACGGAGATGAATAAAATGTCCTTGCTGATGTCATGGGAGAACCAACGCAAGTGTGAGGACTCGTACACACAGAGCTAGAGGGTTGTAGAAGAGATGAACACAGCAATGTTGCACAGCTGAAATAAACCCAACAGCCAGTCACGATTTGGAAAACTATTGTAATCCACTGGTTAATTTCTTGGATTTTTCTAAGATTTATTTTTTTCATGAGTATGTGTGCTTCTCTGAATGTATGTATTGTTCCGCTGCTGTGGAAGAGGGCATTGGATCACACGGAATTGGAACTGTAGATGGCTGTGAGGTACCATGTAAGTACTGGGATCTGTACTGGGACTTCGAGAAGAGCAGCAAGTGCTCTTAACCACTGAGCCATCTCTGCAGTGCCTGCCTCCGCACATCAATTTTTGATTGATAGCCAAAACAAAGACCCAAAACAATGTTTCTTATCCCTAAATCTTGTTTTATTGCCAATAAAATACACATCTTAATGTTATGGGGAAATATGTGGATACAAAACAAGATGTATGCACGTACAAAAAACCCAGATTATCGCACATGTTCTAAGACACGTATTGAGAAGTCAGGGTCTTTGCCATGCTCAGTTATTCTCAGTTCTTAGGAAAGTGCTAAGATACAACAATCAGGAAATAAATACTAAACTAATAGTTAATATTAAATTTGTTTAATATTAAATAAATAATAACTATTAAGTATATTAGTTACCACTTTCCCGTTTCAAATAGATGTTCAATGTTTTCTGTGACAGGTGGAAACACCGAGGAGTACTTTGCTATTCATGCAACCTCAGGAGAACTCTCAACAACTCGTGCTTTGGACCGGGAGCAGATCAACAATTTTACCCTTCTTATCTTGTGCTCAGATTTGGGGCATCCACCTCGAAGCTCTGTGATGCAGTTGCATGTTAGGGTCTTGGATGACAATGACCATAGCCCTTCTTTTCCCATGCTTCATTATCAGTCGTCTGTGAGGGAAGATGCTGAAGTGGGCACCGTGGTCCTGGAGCTGTCTGCTGTGGACAGAGATGAGGGCCTCAATGGGCAGGTAGAATATCTTCTGTTGGAGGAAACTTCTGGTGCGTTCAGTGTTGATCATGTAACGGGGACACTGAGAACTAGCCGCGTCCTTGACCGAGAAGCCAGACCTCAGCACACATTCCAGGCTGTAGCCAGAGACTGCAGTACCCAAGGCGCGAAGAGCAGCGTGTTGACTGTACTCATATCTGTTACGGATGCTAACGACAATGATCCTGTTTGGGAGGAGAACCCAGTTGATGCTTTCCTTTCTCCCAAGCTGTCCCTAAACCAAACCATTGCTCATCTGAGAGCCAGTGACCCAGATGCAGGGCCAAATGGAACTGTCACTTTTAGTTTTGCAGACAGCCAGTCAGTGTTTTCTATCAATGAATATACAGGCGAAATTAAACTTCAGCAGAATCCATCAGCAGAATATTTTCCTATCTGGGTGCAGCTAAAAGCCACAGATCAGGGGGTCCCAGCGAGGGCAACCCCGGGTCTCTTAGTTGTTCACATGGAAGGAGAAGATGTGAAGATCTCTTTCAGCCACCATCTCTACACAGGAGTCGTGACTGAAAACTGTGAGCCAGGTGAGCATATCCCCAAGTTTCTTGAATATTGCACCAGTTTGGGCAAAATGCTTTAATCCAGGCTATAGAAAATTGCCATTGCATTTGCAGTTGCAAACTTATGAGTCTAGCCAGTTCATGATATTGGGAAGTTTTTTTTAAGTTCATTTTTAAAATTTCCTTTTGCATTCCAACCACAGTTCTCCCTTCCTCCCCTCCTCCTGTCTCCTTATCTTCTCCCCCAGCCCACCCTCATGCACTCCCCCCCCATAGGGTGAGGGCTCCCATGGGGGGGTCGACAAAGCTTGGCCTATTAAATAGAGGCAGAATCAAGATCCCACCACCACCACATTAAGACTGAGCATGACATCCGACCGTAGTGAATGGGCTCCAACATGTTAGCTCATGCACCAGGGATAGATACTGGTCCTGTGGTCAGGGGCCCCTCTCAGATAGACCCAGCCACACAACTGTCTCCCAGATGGAGAGGGCCTAGTTCAGTCACATGGAGGCTTCACAATTGTCTGTCTAGAGTTCATGAGCTCCCACAAGTTTGATTCAGCTGTGATATTGCAAAGGTATAATCAATGTGATTTTATTCTCCAACGCTATTATGAAATACCAGACCAACTAGCTTATTAGAACAAGACCTCTCTTTTGCTTCATTGTTCTGGAAGTTCCAGGAAAAACTGAGTAGGGTTGCTTTGGGTCTCTGTTGAGGCAATGTCATGGTGAGAGAGCATGACAGAGCAGACAGTTCACTTCACTAACCAGGAAGCCCAGTGGGAAGATAGAGTGGGGATATAGTCTCCCACTAGGCCTGTCTCCTGAGGTGCCACCATTTCGCAGGAGTACCACCTTGGATTTTCACCAACCTTTCACACACCAGACCTGTGGGGAACATTCACATCTGAGCAGGCAGAGATAATATCGATCTGGTCTGAAATAAAATGTCAGGGTATGCAAGGTCTTAGCCCAAGGACAGGCCTGTCCTTGGAGAATACAGTTGACATGGAAAGGTGTCAGTGTCAGCCAAGAGGTAGACCAAAAGCAGAGGATGTACAGGAAAGGGAAAGAAGGAAAGAAAGCTGTTGAGAGTGACCAGAGCAAGTCACCGGATGGGGAGGGTCCCTAGGTTCTCTGCTAAGCAAGGGCTACGTGCATTAAGTATTGATTGACATTTTCAGCAGATATGGCTTTTCCTGGAGCATGGATTCAATGCAAACTGCCAGGTGATAACAGATACAAGGAAGAGATTTTCCTTATTGTTTTCTATTCTTGTATTTCAGTAGACTCAAGATATTGCAGGAGACCAATCAGTGTTAGAAGGATCTTAATAGTATTAAACATCATTTTATAGCTTCCAGAACGATTTTTGTTTTCTCCAAATGCACCTAAAATTTAAACCTTTGTATGAAAAACCAAATGAAGAAATTAGAGAATTTTTAATTTCTTGTTGGTTCCTTAGACATCCTGTCAGTAAAAGATATTTGGCATGCTAAGTGGATTATATTGGGTATTATTATAAATTATCATTACACTAAACTAAAGATGGGAGAGGGAGGAGGGGGAGAGGGAGGGAGAGAGCACTTTCTGGGTCCCCTGATTTCCTGTTTCTTCTGTCTATGTCCCCACCTATCTTAGGGCCTTTCACACAGCTAGGGCAGGTGCTCCCCTCCCACTTGGTCCCCCACACGTCGGTGCTCTGGAAGCACCTTCACAGGCACAGCCGAAAGTGTGCTTTAATAACCCACTAGACATCTTTAAACCCAGTCATTAGTGATCAGGATTCCCCATCACAACCTGAGTTGGCTACAGTTTGCTTTTTACAAGAAAGCCTTTAAGATTCAAGAAGCCCCTCAGTGGGAGCCGTTGCTGCAAGGCAGAACTCAGTAGGTCAGCGGGATAGCCCGACCAGTGGCAGGTGCGATTCCCTCTCCTCTGCTACTGCTGCCTCCTTGGCTGCCCATGCCCTAGTCTTCATGCTAGGTTAGATGGGATTTGAACACTTCTTTATTTTCCGATTTAGCTGAACTTACAGTTCTTTGTTTTTGTTTCATTAGCTTTAGTGTTTTAAGACAACGTTCGTGAATATCTGTCATTGTGCCTTTGATCACACTTGTCCCCCCTCCCATTCTGTCACTATACAGCCTTGTACCTCCTCCCTGCTCTCACCTCTCACACCGAGCTACTTCCCACACCGGAGTTACCCTCTGCCTTCTGCTTCCAAGCAGCATGCACGTGTATATACAAACATACATCCACACACTCGTGTGCATGTATAGGTACATGTAAGTCTAGATTACCCGATTACCCGTATCAGAGGAACCTTCTGTCATTCTTTTCCAGCGACCGTCTGGTGCTTCTGTCTGCACTCTCCCTCTAGGCTTTCCTGTAGCTCTCCCTTTCCAATTGTGTTTCATATACACACAACTATCATGTACATGTGGATATCGCTTCTATACGGATTTCACACATCAGAGGACATGTCTGCTGGTTTTTCTGAGTCTGGCTTATTTCTCTAAGTATGGTCATCTCCATTTCCTCCTGTCTTCCTGAAAATGGTGGAGTTTCACCCTTCTTCACTGCTAAAACGCCATTGTGCCCAGGAACTGTGTTTCTAACCCCCCATCTGCTAATGGTATCTAGGTTAGTTCCACATCTTGGCTGTTGTGACACACTGACATCTGTCAGAATGGCCGGAACTACAGCAGCCTCCTTTCTTTGTGTATAAGCAGCCATGGCCTATCACACTTTACTGTAGTCTATGGACTAGCTAGGTTCTCCCACTCTCCAGAGCGTCCCCAGTTTGCCCATCCTGGGGTGGCTAATATTTAAGTTGAGGGGTGTCCCCTGAGTATGTTGGGTTCTACACAGGCAGACTGATCTCCCAAACCTTTACAATCTAGTAAAACCCTTCTGGGGGATGTGTGTCTGGTTGACATATACTCTTTGGACTCCACAGCCCTGAACAGGGGGTTTGGATCTACCTGTTGATTGCAGACTCAGGGCTACTCTCAGGTAGTGAGGTTATCTCCCACAACTGAGTGCTAGTCTGCCTCCCCTGGGTATTTCACAGCCTGAGCCTTTTGCTGGCTGTCCTTCCTCTGTTTGCCTGTGTGTGGTCTTCCACTCTCCATCACTCCCCAGCACTGTCTCTTATCAGGCTCTGCTATGTACTTCTTCCTAGTTCTTAGGTCTCTGGGGTAGCTCAGTTTAGACAATAGGATCTCTCTCAAAATGGCCCCTGGCCAGGGCTCTTTGAGCCATGGAGACTGGCAAAAAGGAATTCTCTTGCCAGAGAAGTGTCCAGAACCCTTGCCTGGATTTGAGGCTCACAATAGTTGTGGACTGGCCTGTGATTAGCATTGCTGATTTCCTCACCTGGCCGTGTTCCTCAGGCTTCTGCCTCCCCTCTCCATGCAGAGGGGCAGGGCACCCAGAGTCTTGTGCTTCTTAAGTCTTTTCCCAGATCACCCTTCCGTTTCTCCACTCTCTGCTGTCCGTTCATGAATCTCCACTGCTCTTTCCTTCTTCCTTTCTTTGCAGAAGAGCATATTTCTTTATCCCTATCTTTGCACAACGCAGAGGCAGCTTCTAAAGTGATGTGTTACCAGGAAGCCCCGGACTTTTTCAGAAGTTAGGAATCAGCCACGTGGCTGCTCACAGTGGTGAAACTCTCTAAATGACGAGACGGGCCTCCAGAAGTCAGCTTTCCCAGTGCTTCTGTTTCCCTCCCATTACTGTGGACATCCTGATGAGGATGAGCTGGCAACTGTCGTCCTCAGCGTGGGGTGTTCAGAGCTTCATGCATTTCTGTGAATTGCCCTGGGGTGGAAAATTGACATTATGAATTATTTTGATACCCTGGTTAAATGTTAAGTGCTCAGACTTTGGAAAACTTGGAATACTATTGAAACATGATGACACACGGGGGCAGGCCGACTAGTAAAATATATTTAATATTGCAAAATGAGTAACCTACTTAGATCTTGATATTTTGGAGGAGAAAACTGTCTTCCAGCGCATTGGCAGGAGCTCCAGCTGCTGTTCTCCATCAGCTGGGCAGTGTGGAAATGTGACACGCATTATCGAAGCAGGGCGGGTGAGCCTGTCATGATGAGCCGGTTTCCTTTCCATAAAGTGGAAGCAGCAAAGGACTTCCTCACAAGGATGCTGCAAGGACTGGATTAAGCTGTGGGAGGGTACCAGTCATCACTTCAGTTGTTATTGTGGCTATTTTCCTTCTGTCTTAAATCTCGACACGAAGTTTATAAAGTTAGCAGGGTTTAAGTTCTAACTAGAGCGAGGAGCCATTACATAATGGTTGTATAATCACTGTGAAGTATTTGCAGTTTCCAAACCCCTGCCATCTGGTTCATTTTCTGTACAAACTAGATAAGAACTGTACTTTCTAAGGAAATAAATTACCCCATAAACATAAGAGCAAGCAGTTTCATGTCACTGGGGACTTTCAATGTTCATGACAATGAAGGGGCAGAAACAAATATTTTCTGTCATTCCATTTCATTACATGGGACCAGTCTTGTATTTGAGATAAATTTCATAGGAATGAGAACTATCTAGGTAGTTATTTTCAATACATTTTTTACCTTATCTATGATTTAAGATAACTCTGAAGCAGACAGAAGCAAAGTCTTAGGCAAGGTTAAGTTTTCTCAAAAGGCGTATACCACAAGACAGTTTTCATTTCTGTGAATTCATCCCAGGCCCCATCTGGGTCTCAGCCACAGAAGCAGAGATCTTATTTGCCTTAACTTACTGTTATTTTATTCATTTTACAAAGGGTTTATTTATTCTTTAAAATTTTCATAATGTATACAGTGTATCCTGATCACTCACCCCCCACTTCTCTGCCTATCCTCCCCAGGATTCTGCCAAATTCATTTCCTCTTTTGAAATATTAATTTCTATTATTATCATTATTACTTTTAACTCCCTGGATCCAATTAATGCTACGCATATATGCATGGGTGTGAGGTTATCCAGGGGCATGACCA